AAAATGTTGTTACAATGATTTTTATTGTATTTTTCATTTATTTTATTGTTAACATGATTCGATCACGAACAATAATGAACAATTCTATTACAATAAAAAATGTTGTTACATTAAATATTGGTGTGTTTTCATTGTGGGTTACTTCACGAACAATAAAAATAAATCTGATTGAAGCATGCATACTATGAGAGGGTCAGCAACACTGCCAATGTAATCAAGATAGGTGCTGCTCGTATGGCTCTTGCTTTGACAGTTCGTTTGGCTCTATTCGTTGCCAAGTCAATTGAACGGCTACGACCAGATCGGTTTGAGTTGAACTCAACTCTCCTGCCTCATCTAAATCCCGCTTAATGCAGACCTTTTCCGTGCAGTCACTAATCATACAATAATAATAAAAAAATCCACCACTTGAAGATGTCAGGAAATCACTCTCAGGTGGAAGCATATTTTCATGGGCGATTCTCTCCAGTTGAATGCATTAACTTATCAACGACGTTCAACCACCAAGGAGACGTGACCTAGAGAGATCGAGTGCAGGGGAGTTGGCTTCCATTTCTCACAAGTTCCGGATCGAATCTCAATCCATAACCAGTAAAAAAAGGACTCACCCGTAACAGACATTACCACCCCCTTCCCTCCCCGGGGCGATGTTTTATTTTTTCGATTTATTTTTAAAGTCGATAAAGTAGATCTGTCAAGCCAACACATACACTCTAAAGTACACTGTTATTTTTTTTAATCAATAAATTCGCCAACCAACAGTAACATAACAATAATATATAATGTTATTGAAAAAAAATTATATGGGGAAATCACGAAAATTTCATTGTTAAGATACTTAACAACCCCCCTTTTTTATTGTAAATTTTCCATTTACCATGAAATTTACTGTTTTGTACAACATAAATCAAGGTAAATTTATTGTAGACGTAACAATATAAATCATTGTTAAGACAATAATTTTCGTCTTATTGTTACATTGTTTTTTATTGTATTTTTGTTGTTATTTTTTTTCGGGTGGGCATAGAAGTATGATTGGACTTGCCACACAATTATACCAATGCAAAAATGGTACAGGCATCGAAAGCTCTCAATTAATAACTGTGGAAGTGCATCTAGAACACTAAGTGGAGAGCACGCACTAAACTAATATGCGATATGCAATAAGCTTGAAAAGTGAAGAAGAATAAGAGGAAGAAGAAGAAGAAGAAGAGAATACTGTTATGCATTTGATCACAAACGTTTGGCTGCTGGGTACATTATCAAAGAGCTTTGGGGTGATGTGGCTGGCAGCTAGTCGAGTCCATTGACGGCAATCGAATGTGCAGGAAGGCAGCTTCCACACCTGCTTAGAATATCGCACCCATTCAAACACACATGGGCCGGGACCAACGGCTTTACTTCTCTTCCGAAGGAAGACGTGACCAGAGATTTTTCTGCTTTTTGAATCGCCATATTTTTTGATGATATAACAAACCATACAAGCTGCATTGCTAATGATTATAACATGACAAAATTATCGATTAATTAACTATGATGTTTTTTTTTTAAATATTTACATGCTTACCGTTTTTGCGTCTGATATTTAGGTCTGATTCTGACTAAATAGTTGTAAATGCGCTACGCTTATTTTTGGCTTATTTTTCCGCATTAATTTAAAACGAATGAACTTGTGGGAGGGTGGAGAACATGTTTATAAAATAACAGTGTTAGAGTGAAAATCTCGAAAATGACCTCATCTACTCTGTTTTCCCCTTTTCCCTGATTGTGCTACTAATTCTTCGACTTAGCTATGCCACCAGAGCTCAAATCGGATTACCCCTGCATGCTTCACTTGGCACGATAATTGAAATCAATTTTGGTTCACTGGTTAATTAGCATTGCTTCTCTGGCTTTAACTTACCTGCTATGTGACAGATTTATGAAACATATCTACCTATACATACTTCGCCTGCGCTGAAAAGTTGACCCAATTTCACATACATGTCTAGCGTTCAGAATCTTCATCGATTTTCTTATTCTCATTGCCACCAGTGCTGTAAATTATCAAAATCAACTGAACATTTTTGATGAAAATGAGAAAAGTAGCTATCCGCTGTCAAGGGGACCTCCTTCTAATGGGTGATATCAGTTGCCTAGTCATTTGGCGAAGGCATGGTTCATTTCATTTGAGAAACGCTTGATATCATTCAATTGAGTGTACCTACACATAAACGGAGCTCTGGTCGACATTCTGGCCAAAAAGCTAAGCCAACCCGACACCAATCTGACTTCTACCAAACCCCAATGTTGACCCGAAATTGACCCGACATAAACACAAAATTAACCCGACAACTACAAGTCATTGGGTTGACATCGACCTTAAATTTGCCCTACATTGATCCGACATCGGGTCGACTTGTCTGTTCGGGACCATTTTGCTGGATTTCTTCCAAACTCCACTGTCGTATATCAAATGATATTGAGTGACTCAATTGACAGTGACGATGAGCTTCGAATGAGAAAGGGGCTCTTCAAATTATGGTCATGTGAGAATTCGTTTTCACAGAATTGATTAATAGTTGTATTGGTTCATCTTCAATCGAATGATATGAAAATTAACAGCACTGATTGCCACAATTCACTGAATAAATTTTCCGAAATTATTACAATGCAGTATAGTGAAAGGTTGTGTTAGCTGGCAAAATCAACATTAAACGCACCGAGAAATGTAAATCCTGCCAAGAGATTCGATCATCGCAGCCAGGCCCTTATAATTCTAAACGCTAGATGTACAGTGTACATTGGGCAAGCGGTCACAATAGTCGACGTATTTTCTATGATAATTCGTTGTCTTTCCTTCAGGCTCTCGCAACACAAGCTATTACAAAGACATCGGACTAAATAGCTATCACCTCTTACAGTACTATTTACTAAAGAGCCTGACTTTATAAAGAGACGACTTGTTAAAATTGGAAAAATCGATTATCTGTCAAAGTCATATAGGAAAAGCTATTCCAATCGAGCAGAAGACCTGTCAAATGGATAAGATGTAATTCTGGCTCTTTACTAAATATTTACATATTTACAAGAAACGTTGAATAGAGGCACTCATAAAGCCCTACAGTAAAGGTCCAAACGCAATGTGGACGGAAGCGGAACGGAAACGGAAAGTTTGACAGTTGTCACAAATGACATCAAGATGCCTAACCGAAATCGATTTGGTTCCAACAAGTTTTCAATCCGACAAGTTGGCTTACTCAGATCGGGCTTTTCCACTGCCGTTGCCGTTCCGCTTCCGCTGTCATTGCGCTTGGGCCTTAAAAGTATGGACGTTTGACAAAAGTTGTTCCAATCGAACCGTCAAAATGCACCGCTTTGCTCGATTGGAACAGCTTTTTTTCAGTTTTTCAGTTTTGTGATAGTCGTCCATACTTTAACTAGAGGGCTTTAGGCACACATAAACTGAAGCAAGAATAACCAAACGAACCGTCAAACGCTGAACCAAACGAGCAAAATAAATAAACAATACTGTTCGCTCAATTCACCAGAAAGGAGTATTGTTCTCAATGGTGAAAAAAGTATTTAATTATTTTCACAAAGTATTTGACATCTGTTATTTCTCGCATAACATTAGAAAAGCGCCTATCCTAGTTGATCGATTCTCTTCATCGACTTTCTCTTTGGTTTACCACGGCAACATAAAAGAATTTCTCGCTAAGAGCAACCGTACCAGTGGTTACCATTTGCGGCACTATTTTACTTACGCACAGCGTTTCCATTTTGGCTTAATCACTCCTCTCCACACCGGTCGTTACTATCAGAGTCATAATTTAAGTTTTCGTTTTCCACACCGGCAAAACAAACTTTTGACTTTTGAAAAAAAGAAATAAATAAATAAAAAAATAAAAACTTTTGACGTTTATTCAAAATAGCAACCGTCTGATGCGTTGCTACCGGGTTGCTAAATTTATGAACTCTCTACTTCACAAGGTGCGGATTGCTATTTCCCCCACCTGAATAGCAACCCTCGGTACGCAAGTAGCATTATGGTAGAGGTTGGTAAGTGTGCCTTATTTACTCATTGGTACGGTTGCTCTAAGCTCGCAGCACAATTGGCGTTGACGGCACCGTCGAAAAATTTGCTCTTCCAGCAAATTTAGATAGTTTCTTATGGGAATTTTCGGTGGAGTGAAAGGATAGTACAAAGTCCGCCATGTTTCAAGCACAGTCTGACGTTTGCTTATGGATTTTCTCATAGGAGTAAAGAGCTACAGAGTCGCCGTCAACGCCAATTCGACAGAAGATAATGTTAGCTTGCGCCTGAATCAACACACTGAATGAGACATTCATTTGCAGTCGGGTTATTCGCGAAAAAGAATCGATCAACAATGATTTTCTCGTGTTGCGGGAGATTTATTTATTTATTGTTGATTCAATTGAATACAACATTTATTAGCGATAAAAAACAATTCGAATCGGAACGTTTTATTTAGTTTTATGGTATTAAATAAAAATGATTGCGCTGCAAGCAAAACAGTAAATATACAAAAATTATACTGTCATGGAACGACTGTCATCTCTCGTCTTCGCTTTATGTTTGCAAAATGTTACCGTGCACTTCATTTTTATTCAGCTCCGGCCGTGGTTGCCAATGCCAATGACATTGCCAAAAGATCTCTCAAAATCTGTGCTGCTGTTTTGACCTGGGGGGGGGGGGGGGGGATGTGCTGTCAAATCAGCCTACTGATCATCTTGTATACAAACCTAAACAAGCCATAAGAAACCTACAGCGTTTGTTTACGTTTGGAACCAGTTTCATATATGAAACTGGTTCCAAACGTAAACAAACGCTGTAGGTTTCTTATGGCTTGTTTAGGTTTGGAACCAGTTATGCGAGGTAGGCGACGATTTTTCTTATTTGACAGCCACCTCCCCCCCTTGGTTTTGACAGAAATTTTCATTGGGTGTCTCTATCAACGTCTCTGATATTTACATATACTACTTTTTTTCCATCGTAGACATTGGTACCAGAATCCTTCAAACTATCAAACGCCCGACCCTGATTCATATTATGGAATCAAAGGAATCAGAAAGGTTAGCAATTGGACTATTGTTTTCTATTGCGGAGTATTCATGATCGTTGGAGTAATAGTGCAAACGTTTGCCATAAGGTAGTATGAATCATCTAGAAACCATCAAACAAAAATAAACAGTTCCCGTTCTTTCTTTTACCCACAACAGTAAATCTTTCACTTTCAACCGTGAACAGTTGGATGAATACTCTCGAAAAAATGCCCTTGTGCTTGCAACTGCACGTGCCGAAGCTGAGAGCCGTGGAAATGAGGCTCAACTTGAAAGAATGAAAGCCACATTAAACAAGGAAACAAGGTGTTAGTATCAAGGACCCGTGATATCCTGATGTACATACATTAGTTTCAGTTCGGATGTATTGGTGTTATTGCTGGGATGAAGATCATCTTTTAATTTCATTCATGGGGGTATGCTTAAAACAAATCAAATGTTATCATCAGTCTTACATTAATTTTTGTTTGATTTGCTTAGACATATTTGACTGATTTTCTAAACTATACGGGCTGGTAATAAAATGGATTTGTTCTTGAAGCATAACACCGTTAATACACATTGTAAATAAATACCTATTTAACTAAACGCTTCATTTGAATCTATTGGATGGCAGCCATAAAAGTTCAAGCTGAACAATGCACCCCTCACCATCCCTCTCCGAAGGGGGAGTTTGGTAAAGAGAGATGATAAAACCGATTTGTACCTTCTTCTTTCCTTTTTTTAACGTCGGTCTCTGTTCCGCAATCTAGTGCCAATCACCGACGGACATCGATTGCCATCCATTGACGGCAATCGAATGTGCAGGAAGGCAGGTTCCACACCTGCGTAGGATATCGCACCCCTAGGGGCATCTCACTCTAACTTCATACCTAATATCAATAAAATATTTGTAAATCCCGCGTAAGTATTTTTAGATATTTTTAAGTATTTTAAACCATGGCTATAAATTTCCATCGAAGCAACACTTATTTTTTGATGACCGGTTGCTAGTGCATGTGTTTGTTGTTGACTTGTTGTTTTCGGTCGTCTTGTATTTATACAAGTAGGAGTGTTAAGTATTTTCATTATGAGTATAAATTAGTATTATTTAAGTAATATTTTTCAGCGGTTCAGCTTGTAAAATGCTTCAAGGGCTTGTTAAAAATAATGATGTTTCCAGTAGTTGTCTTCTCTCTCTCAAATTCATTCGGTGACCATGAACAAAGAGTTTCCGATGTTCCGTGTGGCTCCTGTTGTTCTAAATTATGATGAAAGCTTGCCACCATCCAGGAACATTTTTACGAGCATACCTCCAGCCGTCCTTTTACGAGCATACCTCCAGTTGACTAAAAACATGTTTTAGGAAATTATGGAATAATAAGATATTATGATGGTATTTTGTATGTGTAAGTAACAAGAAAAGATTTTAAAGCTTGTGTTTGACACATAAAACTTGCAAATTTAGCTTTGACAGAGCCACAATGAGCGATTTTCTGATCGCCTCTTCGCGAAGAGTGAAGAGCGAAGAGTGGGTGAGATAAATGACAAAATCGCTTATTGCGAATCTCATACAGCAACATTGGCTGATTTTATGTGTCAAACATAAACTCCACAATCTTTTCTTGTTGCTTACACAAACAAAATATTATTATAATATCTTATTATTCCATAATTTCATAAAACATTTTTTTTAGCCAAAATGAATGGAAGGCACCCTGCTCCAGCGTTCAAATCCGAAACTGAACGTCGTCTGAATGAACTGTTGGTATCCGGTAGAGTCGGTGTATAATGAGTCACGCCAAGAGTGAAGCCAAGTCTACCTATTGAACTGTCAAATCGGCTACCTATCGTGCAAAGTAAATAAACATTACGATGCTATGAAAGGTCTACGAAAGGTATTGCAATGAAATATAAAATAAAATTGAAGAAATCATCATAAACACGCAGCGAGCATTAAATGGTCATGGGATACGTTTGGTTTTGATCAGTAATGAGAATTTCTACTATTTTTTTATAAGATAATTTGACAAAATCACTGATATTATGATTCAATACAGCCGTTATTTTTGGTTCTCGCTAGAAATCATTTAAAGTTGATGTAGAAGTCCTCTGTTGCCAAGTGAAAAGAAAGGGAATCCTTCGGAAACCGTGATGCGAGTTCAACTGTTTTTCTCTTGGCGTGACTCATTATACACCGACTCTAGTATCCGGTATTATTGAGCGCGTTGATGATACTATGGACAAATCGTATTGCTCTTCACTGTTGGTTGTTCCCAAAGGAAAGCATGATATACGACTAGTAGTTGATCTGAGAGGTCCTAATAAGGCTATTATCCGTAGTCCGTTCAAGATGCCCACTTTGGAATCCATTATGGTTGATCTACCTGAGTGCAAATGGTTTTCAACAATTGATTTAACCAGTGCATTTTTTCACGTGGTTCTCGACAAGAAATCACGACATTAGACAATTTTTTTCGCAGGGGATGGAATGTACCGGTTTAAAAGACTACCATTTGGGCTCACCAACGCTCCTGACACATTCCAAGAAATCTTACAGACTGTAGGCCGGTTGTAAAGGTGTCCGCAATTATCTGGACGATATTCTTGTATCTGGACGAACGAAAGCTGAGCACGATGAAAAATTGAAAGCTGTATTGGAAAGAGTTCGGGAACACATGTAGCCGGCATAAAGTTGGCTAGCCCAAATCGGTCTACTAGAGTGTTCCGTGGATTGGTTTTTAAACAAATGGCTTAAGCGCCACCTCCATAGAGGACCACTTGTCGTTTCGGATGCCCGGCAAACTCAAAACCCCAGGGCGAGTTCAGTCTAATGCAAAAGATTGGAACGCGCTAGTAGACGTTAAGTACTTGGGATTCAAAGAAAAACACTAAATGCAACCGAATGAAAACTAACCAGAAACCGTCTTTCTACCGGAGCGAATGCACTGGACGACCTGTTTCTCATCACAGGTCAAGCTCTTCCCCAAACACAAAATCTACACGCTTCAGGACAGAAATGGTGGACTGAGATTCCCAAGCAGTCCGACTTGGAGTAAAACCAAACAACGAAAACTACAACAACGAACGAAACTTGAGAAACTTCTTTAGACCAGTGCACTCATTGAACGGGAAATTCTAACCTAACAATCAACACAATTATTTAGCAGAATAGAAAAACATTTATTTAGAAAAAAACTAATAGAACGAAAATTTTATTATCTAACATTTTTATCCGGGAACCCTCATTCTTCTCTTACTCTCTCTCTCTCTAATTCCCTACCTAACTGTGCGGATTTCTAAATGGCTATTTATAACTGGCGCTTCATCCAGATTTAATGCATGCATGCGGACATTGTACGGTTCTACTCACGCTTCTGCTTTACCGACTGCTCCTCACCATCGTCTGTCGCCCCTGCGACGCTCGCTGCACGGAATACAAAAGATTCACCAAATTGGGTGTGAGTCTTGATTCTCTAATTCACCAATTGCTTTTCGTGGTGATATCCCGGTGGGTGGGAAAAATGCTCACCTGGAGCGCGATATTGACGGCGCAGCTCCCTTCTAACTCCGGCCGAAGTTAGGTCCTTTAATACCGACGCGTGGGGTCAGGGTAGTGGTAATAACGGAGGGCGCGGTATGCCGAGCGGGAGGTGGTGGGACGAAACTAGAGACAAAAAGCCGTCAAACGGCTGTACAACTGGATGAGCGCATTGTTGCAAAACCGCATAGTAAATCATTTACCTTTTTGTTGAAACTTAAATCGCGCACAGTACCGCACTAGCCTACTAAACTTATTCAGTAGTAACTACACCTAATCAAAAGGAATTAACGAACAATTAATTACACTGAACTTAAAGACACTTCTCACATTTAAATATACCTCTACAAACACACCGCGAAACTATACCAAAAAACTTCACAGTCCTGCCTCTTCCACGGGTTGGATTAAAGTGGACGAGAAAGATCTTGGGATTCCTCAGAAAGGCCGCTAAAACAATTCTTGGCCTTCGTTCCGGAAACCGAAAAAACGATCTTATCAAAAGGCGATCTCCGATTACCTTCCGATTCGATCAGAGATACTATCTCTTTTCCTCCCAAGTATCCCACATCTGTCTAGCTCATTCCAATCTTTAACTTAAAGTGTTTTTCTTATTATTAAATTTCCGACGACAAGTAATCCTACTGGGAGATTATACTCAATCCCACGGATCAAATTTCATGCCACCTCAAATGAGAAAACTTACGCGCCTAGTGAGCGGATGAACAAGTAATGAGTGAAATTTCATGCAGGGATAATTTACTCTTGATATGAGTTCACCAGTTGGGGCCTCCCTTAGCTCAGTCGGTAAAGGCGCAGCTACAAAGCAAGACCATGCTGGAGGTGGCTGGGTTCAATTCCCGGTCCGGTCTAGGAATTTTTCGGGTTGGAAAATTTCTCGACTTCCCTGGGCATAAAAGTATGATTGGACTTGCCACACAATTATACCAATGCAAAAAATGGTACAGGCATCGAAAGCTCTCAATTAATAACTGTGGAATTGCATCTAGAACACTAAGTTGAGAGCACGCACCGTAATATGCGATATGCAATAAGCTTGAAAGGCGAAGAAGAAGAAGAATGAGTTCACCAGTTGCATACAAGTGAACTGGGATAGTGCGTGTCGTTTCGAATAGTAACAGTGAACATTTGTAGCATTTGAACTTCATGCTACATTAATTTAATATCTAATTCGAATACCGCTACATAACACCGGGCTTGATTTACGAAAATTTGGTTGTAGGAGTACAACCAAATTTTCGTAAGGGCAAACCTTACGATATCACAGCATATATATCACCGATCAATATAATAAATTTGAAAAAAAAATAAATAAATAAATAGATATAGGTATCTCCAAATAAATAAATTTCAAAATAAATATGTAAATAAATAACTGTATAAATAAATAAATAAATATATGAATAAATAACTTGTAAATAAATATCTAAGACTCTAAGTAAATAAATAGGTAAATAAACTCTTCAATAAATAATTTATAAATTACAACAACAACATCCAAATTTCATCAATTTATACAGTTACTGGAAATAATTGACAAAATTATTTACAAGCTCAACCGTTATCATAAATGGAAAAATGTCCTAACCTTCCTGAGTCATCAGAGTGATCCATATAATAATTCAGCAGCATGAGTTTCAACTAAAAATCAAAATGGCTTTAATATCAATATTCCTAGAATTTTGATAAAAACCGAACCCGAAATTAACCCCAGAAACGTAACCGGATCATTTAGCAATGAAACTAACCATTCCTAACGATGGATAAACCATCCCATGCTAAATTCACCTTACTGTCTGCTCTTAGATCGAACACCAAGGCTCTTCCT